TATTACATTTAAGGCCCACAAAATAATCCAGGTAAATCTCCCATCTTAATACCCTTAACTTAATTACAATTGTAAAGCCATTTGTAATATTTACAAACACAAGTGCTTAGGACCTGATATGTTTCGAGACCATTATTCAGCCCCCTACAGAATTATTTCTCACTTATTATTTATTATTATCATTATTTCTGCACTACCTATCCATCACACAGGTGTCTGGCTAAGTGAAAAGCTCCCTCTATGGGGTCACTCAAGGCTGATGAAGGCTTCACCATCTACAGCTGAACCTGTTTCAACATGAAGCTTCCTCAGTCATTGTGGCAGAAGAAAGATAACAAGACTGTAATGTGTATGCTTCAACCCACCGAGATATGACATATATCAATTCTTTCTACAGTCCATTGTCTACAATTAATACATGTATCAGCCTACCTATAATGAGAAGTCACATGTGGAGAAGCAGATGGAATGTTTGAACACCACTATTTTTGTGACTAATGCTTTATCAACATTTATAAACAGTATATTATTGATACTTAACCTTAGAGAACACCTGCTATGTGCTAGAAATCGTTCTCTCTTTTTATATATGTAATCTGATAATCTTAACAATCTTATGAGGATGGCATGATATTATTATGTCTCTCTTTCTAGATAAGAACCTGAAGTTTGATAAGGGTAAATTACTTACCCATTTTGAGGCCAAGCCACTTTAATATACAGAACAAACTTGTAACCACTACACATGCCTGTAATGAGAAAGGCGTAATAATTCTGCTTGGGACTGTGGATTCTTCGGAGACTGTGTAAAGGAAAGAATGAATCTTTCTCCTTCATTGGAAAAAAAATCACTTCCAGGCCATAACTGTGGTGGTAAGGCAAGTGCAATAAAAAATATATATATATTTTGCTAAAGAGACTTATTGAGACATATTTGAGGAGCAGAAATGAAAATAAATAAAAATTAAATTTAATTTTAAAATTTAAAGTACCAAGTGCTGAAAAAATGTGAAGAAATTAGAATGTGTTTGCTACTGGAAATTCAAACTAGTAGAGCCACTTCCAGAAACAGTTTGGCAATTTCTATTCAATTGAGTATATTCACCAAATGACCAAGCAATCCAGCTCCTAGAAATTTACTCAAATGAAACATAAACCTATGATCACATAAAAATTTTAGCCAATGTTTAGATCAGCTTTATTTATAATCACTAAACATTGGAAACAATACTCAAGATCCTCAACTGAGGAAAGAAAAAAATAATGTACAGAGTTCATATTACGGAATACTACTCTGCAATTAAAAAGTTCCACAATAGATCCATGTAACAATATGGGTGGACCTCAGTTGAATTATGCTAAGTGAAAGATGCCAGAATCAAAGACTACATATTCTAGGATTCTAGATAAGGACATTCTTACAGAGGCAAAATTATATGGAAAAAATAGTTTAGTGGTTATGAGGGCCAGTGCGTCAGAGACAGAGTTGACGAGAAAGAAGCTTGGGGAAATTTATTACAGGTGACTGTGGCAGTGGTTACAAGAATATACATACAAATTAGTGATCAAATTATTAGAACTATAGACTAAAAATGTGCATATTACTGTTTGTTACTCATATATTAATTAAAAATAAAATGAAATAATAATACAAAAATATATGTGCACCTTCAAAATATCCAACTTGGTCCCCACAGGCAGTTTAATTACTTCTTCCCTAGGTAAGTGGGAAGAGAAGCTGTAGATGTTCTCATGGCGGACATCTCCTGGAAGCTCTATGTCTCTATAATTCACTCTGGGTTCCTGCGCTTTAGCCTCTGAAATCCAACGTGACTCCAGATGACTTTATTTTAGAGGGGCCAGGCTTTGGTCCTAGCCTCTTTGGTCACCAAGTATTCATCTGAATGTCGCTAGTTGTTTGCACATACAGGCCTTCTCTCGATCTTAAGATTTCCTACAAGCCTGCAGCCATGGTCAAGGAAACATTCCAAGGTAAAAATTATATTGAATGACTTTAAAATGATAACCCCTCACCTTGCCAAGTTGTTTTACAGGAATTTCCTTGTTTTCTGTGGATTACGTGGAAGAGGTAATTTTATTATTTTTTACACATGAGGAGGTAAGTGACCTCTCCAAGGACACAGAAAGAATGCATGGTACATTCAGGACTTGAACCCATATTAATGTTCTTTCCTCCATCGTTCTCTGCCTTAGAGACCCTGGAATCTTTGACCACCATTTGAGAGAGCTTCCCTAACAGTATTTATGCATTATTCCATGGCTGAATTTTTTATTTCAAAAACACTATTCAGGATTGACTGTCACTTGTTTTAAGCAACAAGGTAAGCTTCTATATTCAATATATGCTTTTAGTGAAAACTGTAATTCATGCAAAAGCAGTGGGGTACCTACACCTACTATGATTTACTGAGCACAGAAAAAGATATTTTGAACATTTTCCTTAAAAACTGAAGCCAGGGAGTAAATGTCAAAACTTCCATCAGTAGAAAGTTAGATGATACTTATGAAACATCTTCATGCTACTCCTCTAAAAAAGATTAATAAAAAAATAGTATAGGTGATGCTATGATTGTGTGGTAATTTTATCTTTTTTGCTATATATTAGCCTCTTACTGGAGGTAAAGGGAAAAAAAAAAAAAAAAACCAAGAGAGTGAAATGACCCTTCTTTAAACTATAAAAGGGACCAAAGTAAAACAACAAGATCCAAATTTTATTTTAACATTTTCCCCAGAATTTCATCCTCATTATTTCCAGCATATCTACACAAGTTGACAGTGACAGGCTCCTGATTAGGGCAAAAATGGGTTTAAATCTCCATACTAGCTGTGTAATTGTAGAGCATTACATAAGTTCACAAATCGTCAATTCTTTAATGGTAGAATAAGAATACTACCTGCCTTACACACACATACACACGCACACGTTTTTATATATAAATCTCTTAGCACTGGTGGTACCACATAGTATATGCTAAAAGTGGTTATGTATGTTAAGATGGGCAAACACAAAGTCTTCATGGGCTAGGCTTGTAAAGTGAAGTTGCCAAAAGTTTAGGAGGAAGATGGCAGAAAATAATAGCATTGGATGGCTGCCCTTCCAAAGGACTCAGATTCAATTAAAAAATAATAAAATACGTTCCTACATAAGAACAGATTCATATAAAATATTTAACAACACAGAGTTTGCCACAAAAACAGATCTGCAGGGGCCGGCCCGGTGGCGCAAGCGGTTGGGTGCGTGCGCTCCGCTGCAGCAGCCCGGGGTTCACTGGTTCGGATCCCGGGCGCACACCGACGCACTGCTTTGGCAAGCCATGCTGTGGCGGCGTCCCATATAAAGTGGAGGAGGATGGGCACGGATGTTAGCCCAGGGCCGTCTTCCTCGGCAAAAAAAGAGGAGGATTGGCGGATGTTAGCACAGGGCTGATCTCCTCACAAAAAAAAAAAAAAAAAAACAGATCTGCAGGTCAAAGGCAAGCCGCAAACTAGAAACTTTCACTCTCCATGTCTGTGACTCAAATATGGGATGACAGTAATGAGAAAAGAATGAGTTTAAGATAAGGAGACTCTTCCAATGTAAATTAAAAGATAAATTTCAAGGAAGAAATTAAGAAAAAAAATGGCTACATGGAAGGGCCAAAGCAACCAATTGTATGAGTGGAGCAGGACAGAGTGCAAGTTACTGGAGAGCACAGAAAATCTCATGGCCCTATGGTGTGAGAAAAAGCAAATGGAAGAAGGAGCTACAAGACTTCAAAACTCACACCTAAAGCCCTGCATGTTGCCACCCACCTTTTCCAAACCAACATAGAGACCATCGTTCCATCCTAAAAATATTATATATAACATTAATCAGATTATGCTAAACACCCAACATTTCACTCATTTTTAATGCATTATCTCATTTAATTCTTACAATAATACTTTGAGTTAGACGTCATTACTCTCTTCATCTTGAAAATGGAGAAAATTACGTTCAGGGTAGTTAGGTTAGAATTGATTCTTAGGTAGTAAATGGTAGGGTTGATATGCACCTCATCTCAGAGCCCAAGCTCTGTATCTGATGTTATCTCTTCCCCTAAGAATTGCCTCTGCTGGTTGTACATGCCCCTACTGCTCCAGTTATCCCAACACATTTAAATTCAACTAATACCATTTTACTTAGGAAAAACTCTGCTTGGATCCCAAGCTTGGCTTGCCATTAATACAAGTGTAAACGTGAATAAATTACTCAACATCTTGCACCTCACAATTTAAATGAAAGTAACAACAAATCGACCTCATAATATTGCTGAGAGGAATCGATGGATATACATGTAAATTGTCTAGTGCAGTCCCAGCATATGAGCAACATAGTGGTGTAAGCTTTTACTAGCATAGGAAAACTGAATTGGCAGAGACATAGCATCCCAAACATGTCATCTTGGACAAGTCATTCAATTTTCCAAATCTCAGATTACAAACATAAAAAATTTAAAAACTGGGGATATGATCTATAAAGATTCTTCCAATTCACACTAGCCTGTGGTGTAGCAGTTAAGTGCACGTTCTCCGCTGCTGGCTCCCTGGGTTCGGATCCCGGGGGCGCACCGATGCACAGCTTGTCAGGCCATGCTGTGGCGGCGTCCCACATAAAATGGAGGAAGATCGGTACGGATGTTAGCTCAGGGCCAGTCTTCCTCAGCAAAAAGAGGAGGATCAGCATGGATGTTAGCTCAGGGCTGATCTTCCTCACAAAAAAAAAAAAAAAGATTCTTCCAATTCAACAATTTTTAACCCTATAGACAGTTAATATACTAAATTTTGTGATTAAGCTCATGCTTTAGATATGGACAATCTTGAAATATATATTATTGCTGCAATGAAATAATGCTCATGGAATATAAACATTTCAATTTCACTGCAATCTCTATTAAACTTAACACTTGTCCTTTATTTCACCTTGCTACAGGACATTTCACGATTCCCAAATAACACTGATGGACAACAGGACAGAAGTGACACAGTTCATCCTCATAGGCCTAACCAATGCCCCAGAACTGCAGATCCCCCTCTTTATAATGTTTGCTCTCATTTGTCTTATCAATGTGGTTGGAAATCTGCAGATGATCCTGTTGATTTTCATTGACTCTCATCTACATACCCCCATGTATTAATTTCTCTGTAACCTGTCTCTCGTAGACTTGCATTACTCTTCAACTGTCACTCCCACGGTCATGGTGGGGTTTATTACAGTAGAGAGGGTCATATCTTACAATGCATGTGCTGCTCAGATGTTCTTTTTTGCAGCCTTTGCCACTAGGGAAAATTTGTTCTTGGCATCAATGGCCTATGATCGCTATGCAGCAGTGCGTAAACCCCTACATTACACCACCACCATGACAACAAGTCTGTGTGCACATCTGATTACAGGCTGCTATGTCTGTGGTTTCTTAAATGTTTCCATCCACACTGGGGACACTTTCCACCTCTCTTTCTGTATGTCCAATGTGGTCCATCACTTTTTCTGTGATATTCCAGCAGTCATGGCAATGTCTTGCTCTGATAGGCATGCGAATGAGCTGGTTCTTGTTTATGTAGCCAGCTTCAATGTCATTTTTGCTGTCCTGGTTATCTTGATATCCTACCTGTTCATATTTATCACCATCCTAAAGATGCACTTATCTGCGGGATACCAGAAGGCTTTATCCACTTGTGCCTCCCACCTCACTGCAGCCTCCATCTTCTATGGAACTGTTATCTTCATGTACTCACAGCCCAGCTCCAGTCATTCCACAGACACAGACAAAACAGCATCCGTGTTCTATACTATGATCATCCCCATGCTCAACCCTGTGGTCTACAGCCTGAGGAACAAGGAGGTCAAGAGGGCATTCATGAAGGTTCTTTTGGAGGCAAAATTGTATATCGATCTGTGATTTTAATGTCATAGGATTGGCAGTAACCTAGTTTCATTTCTCTCAGATCTTCTCCAGGCACGGAGTCGTGTTTTAAGGCCCACACTGAAATTAAGTTCCTGAAGTTAAGTTCCTGAAGTGACACCCTTCCCTTTTCATAAGTTTGTTGTCTAGCAAAAAGCAAAGGCTATGTCCAGAAATATAATACCTGCATGAGAATGGCTAAGGTGAATCATAAGACATCTTGTGTCCCGCTTGTCAAATCCTTGTTAAGGATATTTGACTCATTCACTCACTCCACACGGCCTTTCCTCTACCACATGTCATTACAAACACACAGGTAAAACATGGGCACAAAAGAGCCGATGAGCAGAAGTGCATGATGTGCCTCATGTGGGAGCTTATATGTGGGGGCGGGAAATTTGTCATATATAATGGAAGGTGGCTAGTTTTGTTATGTTAATACTTTAAGTAATTAAATGTAGTATTAGAACATCAATTTCTGTTTAATATTATTTATTTATTTTGTTGAATAAGCATTCTAGGAGTCCTAATTTGAACATAAAGTGATAAACTTTCAAATGAAAGTATTTGCTTTTTCATTGATACATTTTATCTAGAGATACATAAATATAGCACCTTAAATAAATTAATTTTTGTGTTTTGACTGAGTCATTTTATACAATCAATATGTTCACATTCCAATTTCTGAAAGAATAAAAGAGCCAGAGTACAGGAAAAATGGAGGAAAATTAAAAACATTTTCTCATTGGAAAATTACTGCATACATACAAATTATAATTAACTGAAATTATTCTAAATGTCCCTATAAATATAAACATGGCAGTGTCTGTCAGGAATAAAGACAATATGCATTCAAGATGCTAGCATAATGCACAATCTTTATGCTTTTAATTTTGATCCTCAGGGAATTCAGTACTATACAAAACCAGCCCACAGGAATGTACGCCAATGTCTAATTTGTTATCTGTATAAAATAAGAGACTTCAGCATCTTAATATTTGTAAGATTGTGCTTGAATGCGCTAAGATTCTTATGGTGGTACATGCGGGTAGGTACCGTTTAACACAAATATTTATTCGGTCTTCCTGGTAATGTTTCTCCTCTTGGAACCATTTCTAATTATTATTTTAAATAATTCTTTAATTTTATAACTATTTTAGGTTACAGAAGATTTTCAAAAATAGCACAGAATGTTTCTATATAATCTCTAACAATAGCCCGCCAAAAGATCCATGGCTTAATCCCTGGAACCTGTGAATACTAATTTATATGGCAAAAGGGACTATTCCGATATGATTAAATTAAGAATTTTAAGATTGGGAGGTTATCCTGAATTATCTGTCTGTACCCTATAGAAAAATCTCATATATTCTTATAGGAAGGAGTTAGACAGGATAGGATTCTGGGAAGATGCTGGAAGAGGCAGCACCAGGAATCCATCTCCTCACCTGGATAGCTACACTGGCAGAATCTGTCTGATGTAACTATTTGGGAACTCTAGAGTCTATCGAAGGCTTTGCAACTTCCAGGGGAAGACGTGGATGATAAATTATGGTTAATTTTGGTCATTTTCAGGTCAGCACAGTAGCAGCTACAGGTTTCCCACTCTCAGCCACTTGACAAGCAGCCATGCATGCATTCCTGGGGCAGCTTGCACACTGCTTTCAAGATCCAGGGTAGGCTAAAGGACTCTGTCCTCCAAATATTGGGAATTTGTGCTGTCATAGCTGCGTCTGATCACAGAGGTGTAAACAAAGAGGTAGGCAGCCATTGTTGTTGCACCTCCCCCTATTGTTTTAAACTCCTCCCCCCTTAGCTGAAGTGACCTCCGGGGCATTTAAAGGGCTAGTGTCTTTTTTATATCCCTCCTCCGTTTCTCTTTTTCCCCTTGTGGGAGCCAGACTTCAAAGTCCAGGATATTAAAAAACAACTGCATATATGAGGACAATTAGAAAGTGACAACACATGCCCAGGGAAAAGCTCAGAAAAGACCTGAGAAGAACGTAAGTTTACACGTCAGGGTGTTCTTCAGCACAGAGATAGCCTACAACAATTAAAAAACTAAAACGATAACAGAAAAGAGCAAACCCTGGGGAGAGGAGAGAATCTGATGTCCAGAATTACCATATTATTAGATTAAAATGTCCGGTTTTAGACGAAAAATCATAAGGCATACAAAAAAACAGGAAAGCATGTCCAATTCAAAGGAAGAAAATTAATCAATAGAAACAGTCCCTGAAAAAGACAGGAAGGCAGACCTGCCCTGCAAGAAAGGCTCAAAGGAGTCCTCAAAGGTGAAATGAGAGACATTGGACAGTAAATTAAAATGATATAGAGAAATAAAGATCTTAATAAAGGTAAATATGTGGGCAATTATTAAAGTTAGTTTTATTGTAACAATGTTTTGTAACTAATTTTTGTTTTCCATAGGATTTAAGGGACGTACATTTAAAGAAAAAAAAATGGGCCGGCCCCATGGCTTAGCGGTTAAGTGCATGTGCTCTGCTTAACCTGGCGGCCCATGGTTCAGATCCCGAGCGTACACGAGGCACCACTTCTCCAGCCATGCTGAGGCCCTGTCCCACATAGAGCAACTAGAAGGATGTGCAACTATGACATACAACTATCTACTGGGGCTTTGGGGGAAAAAAAGGAGGAGGATTGGCAATAGATGTTAGCTCAGAGCCGGTCTTCCTCAGCAAAAAGAGGAGGATTAGTATGGATGTTAGCTCAGGGCTGATCTTCCTCACAAAAAAAAAAAAAGAAAGAAAACACAATTATTAGTCTGTAAGCTAGTATTATTATATCTTTGGTTTGTTTTCTTTTGGGAAGGCATGTTCCAACACAAACATACAGAATCCCTATGCGGGGCTGGGGAGAATTAACAGTATAAAGTATTTAAGAAAATCAGTTCAATCATTAGGCGATCATTAAGCTAAGTAAGTAGAAACTTTAGTGGTCACATACAACAAAGAATACAGAATTAACATAAGTAAACCAGGAAAATCACTGAACAATCAAAGAGTATCCCCACCAACAACAAATGAGGGGAGACCTCATTTCCACAATATGCTACATTTTATTACTTAAAATGCTCATATTTCAAGAAAAAATATATATCACACAAAGAAAGAGGAAAGTAAGATCAATACATAGACTTTTTTGAGAATAATCAATAGAAACTATCCCTGAGGAAACCCAGATATTGGACTTAATAGAAAAAGATTTAAAACAGATATTATAAATATGGTCAAGGAACTAAAGGAAACCAAGTCTACAGAATTAAGGAAAGTGTGAGAACAATGTCTCACCAATTAGAGAATACGTACAAAGATACAGAAATTATTTTTAAAAAACAAATAGAAATTCTTGAGTTGAAAAGAATAATAAATGAAACATAAAATTACTGAAATGGGGGACCGGCCCAGTGGCACAAGTGGTTAAGTGCACATGCGCTCCGCTGTGGCGGCCAGGGGTTCGCAGCTTCGGATCCCGGGCGGGCACCGACGCACGGCTTGGCAAGCCACGCTGTGGCAGCATCCCATATAAAGTGGAGGAAGACGGGCACATATGTGAGCACAGGGCCAGTCTTCCTCAGCAAAAACAGAGGAGGATTGGCAGATGTTAGCACAGGGCTGATCTTCTTCACAAAAACAAACAAACAAAAATTACTGAAATAGGATCAGCAGCAGATTTAAGCCACCAGAAGAAAAACAACAAGGAACTTTAAGATAGATCAGTTGAGAATATCCAGCCTGAAAAACAGAAATTAAAAAAAGAATGAAAAAGTATAAACAGAGTCTCAGAGATAAGTGGGATACTATCAGAGGTACCAACGTACTCATAATGGGAGTCCGAAAAGAAGAGATAGAAAGGGGTAGAAAGAATATTTGAAGATATAATGGCCAAAAACTTCTTAAATCCAAGGAAAGGAATGGAATACAAATAGATTCAAAATTTTTAACATAGTGAGGCTCAAAATATTAGCAGATTTTTACATTAACAAATTCATACCATTTATATACAAATAAGTTATTAATACTATTGTAATTTTTGGTGCTTTAAATTTAAAAGTTAAATGTTATATTTTTATTTAAGTCAATTAGATTATGCCTTTATCATCCTTTTCTTTTTCCTATATTGTGATATGTTTTCTCTATTAAAATTGTCATATAAACATATTATTTTTAGATATCTTCATTGATATGGAAATTTGGTTAGGAAAATACTCATGTAAAGACATGTATTTTCATTAAAAACAAAAAGAATGAAAAATAAGTCTACATTCAAGAAACTTTAGACGTATTTTTATAAAAGTTAATTAAAAATATATAAAATATTGCTTTTTCATTTGTAAAAAGATAAAGTGAAATATAATTTTTAAAAACCAAATATATGTACGTTATATATATGTATATATATTTACATGAAATCCAATATTTATATTTAGAATGTGTTGTCAGACACCAAAATAATTGTTTTAACTTTTACTGTAACAGTAGACCTATCTCACGTATGTCTTAACTAATTTCTCCTTCTGTAGGCGTGTGGGTTTCATGCATTTCTCATGAATGATGTATATGTGTGCATATGCTTATACGTACATGTGAAAGTACAGGTTCATGTAGGAGTGTAGATGAACATATTTATTAGGAAAAGTTTTTAAAATAAAAATTCCATATTCATGAATTATTCCTCTTAACCTATTATTCCTAGGTGTTATATTTTTTAAGTTTGTAAGCTTAATCAATAACTGAGGAAAATACTATTAGAAATTAGAAATTTATAGGTTAGACAGGTAAATATTTTCCCTAGATACATCTGATGTGGATGAAACTGCCTTATTGTAGATTCTATGTAATTAAAATATAAATCCTATAGAAGTCCTTGCCTTCCCCACAGCCTTTTGAAAGGCATTCTTGACCTCTTTATTCCTCAAGCTGTAGACCAGTGGATTCAGCATGGGTATGACAATAGTATAAAACACAGATGCCATT